GAGGGAAAGATGGGGGAGCATGGATGGGAACCAACTTGCCGTCCACGACCATCATGCTCACGTCGATACGGGGATCGTTGGTAGGCACTTGGAAAAGAAGGTGGCATTGGGCGAGAGCTTTGTCAAAGCCGAGCACATGCTCGTTCACTACTTCATCACCCAGCAGCTTGACTTCGGCCTCCAACTTAGTTACCCGATCGAGGAGAGAATCCCGTTCGGTAGTCAATGTTGTGTTGGAAGCAGTGGCCTTCTGAAAGTCTAGCTGGACATCATCCAGAGACCATTGCATGCGGCGCTGAGTAGCACGAGCTTCGGTCAACAGTGTCCTGGCTTTCTTCTTATCCTCTTATGCCATCCGTTCGGTTTCGGCTAGCCGAAGAGTAAGGTCCTGGTTGGCCTTAACAGTAGACTCGAGCTTCTCTTGGAGTGATTGAAGCTCGGCGGAAGCAGAAGCTTTCTTATGGGCAGCATAGGCCTGACATAAGGTCGCCCGTGCCGTCAGCTCCAGAGACATGTTGGAGGCCTCTTCCTCGGTCATCCCACTGACCAGGGCCTTATCCTCAGCAAAATGGTCAAAGCGGAGATGTTTGACCACCCAGGAGATGGGACTTAGCAGACTGGGGAGAGGAGGCCCGTCGGGCAAACTCCTCTTAGCATGAATGGACTCCGCAGAGGTGTCCCGAGCGGCTTTTCGTTTCCCTTTCTTCTTAGGAGGGGACTTGGAAGGAGCTGGATTGGCAACAGTCTCAACCGGAGGTGGAGGAATAGAAACCTGAGGCACTGAATGAGGAGCGACAGGTCTGGTGGTGGTGGATGGGGCGTGGGAAGAACTCCCGCCCGGTTTTCTCACATCGCCCCCTCGTTGAGCGAACAGGCAGGCGAAAGTGCTACCCTTGGACGGATCCATCTGCGCTAAATAATATGCAAAGACAAACGAAAACTCAGATAAGTTCAAAGGGTTACTCGGTAAAGGGCGGCCAAAAGTAGCTTACCGAACACATTAGAAGGCAGGTTCTTGTTGCCAAGAAACCCGATCAGAACACGGCACGAGGATTTGGGGGGTAGCTGACAAAGCTGATTGATTAAATCCAGGTCCTCGGTACTCATCTGTGGCTTAGGCCAGTCCGAGGGTCTCGGGTCCAGTAATGAGGAAACTTGGCATCCCGGGTGGGGCCGGGGTTGCAAAAACTTTCATATCCAGCCTCCGTCGGCACGACTTTAAAAAAGTGATTTTTAAAGTCTTTGTAGGAGCTGTTGTAGAGAGTCAGCAGGTGCTTATTCCCGACCGTCCGAAGGGATACCCACGGTTTGGTCGGGTGTGGTTGCACGTGGAAGAAATAGAGGAAAGCCGGGGGAGTCGGCTTAAGCGCCAAGCCAGTGCAGATAGCAGAAAATGCTTGCATGAAGGCCCACCCGTTCGGATGAAGTTGAGTAGGGGCCAAGTTGAGGGTTTTCAATACACCCATCTGAAAGTCAGTGAAGGGCAGGAGAACCTTCAGATCTTTAAATAGGGTGGCGTAAACATAGAAGAAGTCAGAGCGGTAGTTCTCCCGACCGTGGCAGACGCGCTCGGTCCTCTGACAGATAGCAAGCTTGAACTGTCTCGCGTCATTAGCATTCTTGACCAGACAGGTACGGGTTACCAGATTCCGGAATGCGTCACGATTGTAGAAGGAGGAAGGAATCTGTCTAACTTCGTCAGGCACCCAGTCATAACCGGGGACAGGAGGCCAATCTCGGGGCTTCCCGTCCCAAGCGCCGGTGGAGTCTACATGGATGGCGACTTCTTCAGGGGCATCACTATCCACCAGAAGATCGGAGGAGTTCCCGGAGGGCGAAGCCCTAGCACCATGACTGGCAACAGCGGCTATGGAGGTCGACGGACTGGCATTGTCTTCATCAGCGTACCCCCTCCCCTCGTTGCCGAAGAGATCAGACGACATGATTACCTGAGAGAAAACGGAAGGAGCAGAGAGATTCGGAGGAGGAGAAGAGGCTGGCGACGGCAAGAAGATTAAAGACAGTAATAAATTAGGGTGAAAAGAAGGATATTTATACTTAGGTTAAAACCGACTCAATGGAAAAATCTAGAACGTCAAAGGTCGCGAGATCTGACGGTTCAGGAGATGTGACGTTTCGGTGATGGGAGGATCTGACGGTTTAAGGGGGGAAGACGCTTTGTTTTTTCACATTTCCCGCCTAAATGTTAGGGGCGAGACTTTTCAGTTTCCACCATAACACATGGTCAAATTTCGTTAAACGAAAAGGAAGGTCGGGCGGAGGTCACTTCAAAACCCTACGCAAAGTACTTTGCTAGGACTTGGGGGGCTTGTGTTACTACCAAGGGTAGGCAACCGATCGTGGAGTGGGTTATTACCGAGGGTAAGCAGCCGACCACGGATGGAGTTATTACTAAGGGTGAGTAACCGACCGCAGCTTGTGTGGCTACCGAGGGTAGGCCACTGATCGGGTGGTTGATAACATAACCGATCGGGTAAGCACGAGGAAAGGAGATTGCAGACAGCCGTTAAATGTTCATGAATGCGTGGTTAATGAGGTAACGGTCCTTGTCGAGTATTTAAAGTGAGCATTGAAAGTCGATAAAAGGTAAATTAATGAATAATATTCCCTGTAAGTGTATAAATAGAAGTCAAAGGGGAAGGTAAATGGTCTGTTCTTTTGATAATTATAGACTTGCGAGAGCCCATTCTGACTTGAGCGTCGGAGTGTTTGCTGCAGGTCAACCCATTTACACTGATACCGAGCGCAGAGGAGGCAAGAAGAGGAAGACCGATCGGAGGAGTGTTTCCGGACGGAGGTAGCAGGAGTCCCGGTCCCTTTCAGCGGAAACATTATTTATTTTATTATTATTATTATTTGATTTATAATATTTTATATGATTTTAATCAATTAGATTTATTTGTTTAATAATTATGAAATTGGTGGTCTCATTTTTCCAACTTTCGAAATTTATTGAGAAAAATTTTGAATTGTACTTTTGGAAGTTGGAAACATAAAACAATCAAAATATTAAAATATGTATATCATATACAATCCAAACTACAGAATTTTGTTTTAATCCATTAACAAGCTAAGTGCTATGATAAATTAATAACATCAACAATTTTTATTTTTAAGAATTTAAAGAGTTTACTATAAATAATTTATTAATTAGTGCTATATTAATCCATGGTTAGAGATATGAAATTATTATAACAACGTACGTAAAATAAAACATTTAATAGTTAACAGTTACACACTTTAACACTTCACAAAATAGTACTTCCACTAAACTAAAATAGTATAAGAAAATAATTCACTTAACTCTTTTGTTTAGTCATGAAAGTTTGTTTAACTACAAATTCTAGTAAGTGTAATGTATTATTCTAAAAGTATAATTTAATTCAAAATGCAAACCCCATCCTCAATAAATTAAAAATAATTTAGAAAATCCATTTTTTATATAAATGAAGAAAATTACAACGACAAAAATAGTTAGAATATATTTATAATAAAATCAATAAGTTAGCAGTAACTTATTTGACTAGCTTACAAGATGTATTTAACAAAATTGGTTGGTAAATAATGTCACAGGTATTTAGCTAATAAATTAACTATTAGCCTATAAACTTATAATTTATAAGTTATGAATTGATAAATTAACCTACAAGAAGTGTTTCAAGAAGTGTTTGTAAACTTGTTGTAGTTAGTAAATGTAGCATAACATAAAAGAATAAAACTACATCATTTATTCGTATTGCAGACTTTAACAGACTTTAACAGTTGTATCGGTTTATAATTTTCTCTGCATTTTGATCAATGTTCTTTCCACTTGATCCACACTAGTTAGCTGCAAATTTCAGTAGCAGCATTGAACATTATTAATAAAATTAGTGCCAAACATACATTAGCTTCCTAATTTATTTATGACTCAGTTTTTCTGAACACCCAACCAATCTTTCATTATTCATTCAATAATTTACAATCAGGAAGCAAAACGCAGAGAGCAGATTTTTCTTATTGTACCAAGTCTCAACCAATATAAGAGTCTCAACCAATATACCAACAAGATAAAGAGGGTTTGAACAACATACCGTGCAGCACCAACAACGATGGTGGCAGCCGGGCAATGACGGCAACCGAAGCGACGACGACAGAGTGGGATAACGACGGTGAACCAATTCTCGCAACAAATGGATGCACAATGTAGGAAAAACGGAAAAACTTCAAGTGTACAAGATGAAGAAGAAGTTCAGCCGAGAAAGAAAATGGAGGTTCAAAAGGTGGTGATGACCAGAGAGAAAATGCAATAGAGGGAGGAAATGCACAGTGGAAGCAGAAGAAAGAAGATGCACAGTAGGTTAAGTGGATACGCGTGAGGAAAAATTGTGAGTGAGGATATGCTTTGGTTATTCAACTAACCGATGCCTTAACTCCAAACATATGCTTCGGTTCCACCAACTACCCGACGCAATAGCACAGTCTTGAGTGGTTTGTAGTGGCGTTGTAGGTTGTGGCAGGCTTATAGGCATCGGGACTGCTACCAACCGATGCAATAGGACTTTTTCTAAAAAGTTGTCTGCCAAAAGTCTGATTTGCAGGACGCCATGCAGATGTATAGGCATCGTTCTAGAGCTAACCAATGCAATATTCTCCTTCCACCTCGGGTTTCTCTAAACCGAGGTATATACGTCTTTATGCTCGGTTTTTTCTTAACCAAAGCCTATATAGCGTGTCAGTAACCGCTTTTTCTACTGGTGTGTTAAGAAAAATGGATTTAATTTCTTAATGCCGAACTTAATTACTGTCTTAAGCTAATCTGAATTAGAGTTATAAAGACGTCTCAACTATCCACATGAAATAAGGAAATTAGTCACTTATTGTTAACATTCGAGTTAATATTAATTAGTAGAAAAGATCTTATAGGAATCTTTTTTGCTTTTAGATAATAGCTAGAAAACGAAGAACATAAATGAGAAAGAAAAGAAGTTATACAATTGAGAAGAAGAAGAAGAAGACATTAATTGTAATTAATGATTAATGATATAAATATAAAAGAGTTCAGACACAAGTCCGAATATCTCCAAGCTTGTTCTTGATCCACTTGAAGCCGTTTCTGACAGTTGCTTTAAGCTTTCCCTCGACAGTGAAAACGTTATAGGACTTGATTCTCTTCTTCCTCTTGAGCTCTGGATCATTTGCTGCACAGAATCCAGTTCCCTTCTGGTGTGGCCCGTTGAAGTTGTAGGAGTTTGATCCTTCTCCGAAGCCAAATTCAGAGTAGGAGCATGAGTATTTAGGGACTGACTTTTTCTCCATCATCTTAGTGGCTATGGTGTTTGAAAGAATGCATGACACAGGAAGGCTTTTAGAGGAAGAACTGCATCATGATCATGCACTGTAGTGGCAGCAATGTGTGATGTGTTCAACAGCTCCTATTCAGCCTTGTGGGGAGCATCAGGGTCCATGGTGGTCATGCTAGTCTTGTGGGACCCTGCATGTTTTCTCATTATAGTTTTAACAAATATACACTTACATTAATTTTACCCAAATTATTACAATAAAACAGTCATAAAAACCTAAACTTTTATACCTTTAAAAAAACATAAAATGTAAAAAAAGATACATATATTAAATAAATATAAAAAATTGTACGTCAAAATATCATTTCTGTAATTTTAGAAATGAAAAATAATAATATTTTGACAGATATAAATTGTTTACATTTGCTTGATGTTATTTTTAAGAAAAAAATACAAAAAATTTATTTTTTATATTATATAAAATTTTACCCTTTTCCATTTTTTAATTCTTTTTCTTCTAAAAATACAAAAATTTACTTCTTTTATTATATATTTTACTAAAAAAAGTGTATCAAATATAAATGTGTCACCCTGTTCCATTGTTTAAAATAAAAAAAAGTATCTTACATAATCTGGTTGTTGTTTGCCACTTGCATGTTTTATTAGATGCAAAATTAGACTATAGTTTTCACTTTTCAATATGAAAAGGAAAACATAGTCGTTTTCCACTTTATGTCAGACTTAGTGGCTCAGTGCTACGTGGGCCTTCTATTTTCATGCACACAACCAAACTTAATTTTTAAGAAGTAAATTGTAAATGTAATGTAAGTTAATCGAGTGAGATCTTCAATGCATCTTATAAATAATATATGGATTTAATAAACAATAGATTCTTTTAAGATAATTTTTTAAAATAATTTTATGTAATTAAATTTTAAACTTAATAAAATGAGTATATAAAGTGAGGAGTGTATTTATTTATACAGTGAAATGAATATGAGATGTTGAACATTAACATTAATGTGATTATTGATTTTGTTTGTTAAAAATTTTGAGAGTAAAAACTAAAATTGAAAAGAATTTATGGTAGAAAAGATTCTGAAACTAAGGGACAATGATGTGATTCTTGATAACCTTGATGGATGAGTTGAACAACCTAAGGATCATCACACTTTGCTTTTACTTATTCCTGTGCGCGTGTTAGTCAATAGTCACTAAAGTTTTCGAGTTCTTATTGCTATTCCCAAGGACTCCATTCTATTAAATTTGCAAACTTTTTCTTTTTCTTTTCTCAAAAGCTAACACTTTCAGTTTTTCACACTTGTGTTGTATATATTTAGATTGAATAATGAAAAATGAGATAAAGAAAAATAGAGATATAATTGATTCCGTTGTAATCCTAATTAATTGTATAAAAATTAAATGTTGATTTTTAACCTCATTTTCTATATATTCTTAAACTCTGAAGAAATCATTAACACACATGAAACATTTGTTAAAAATTTCATATTGATTAAAAATAAAATTAGTTATGTATAAATGGTGCAAATTTTTTCAAGTTATTTTGTGAAATTAAATTAAATTTAAAATTTATTTTTACTAATTTTGTGAGATTGTGTTAAATTTAATTTTTTTTAATACATTTTTAATACTTAATCAATTTTTTTTACAATATTATAATGTTAGTCTCAGATATTTTTCCAATTACTTAATTCATTAAACTCGGTATTATTAACAAATTTAGTCTTTAACATAATTGAACAATGTAATCTCTAATTTTCCCAATCATGATTAATTCAGTTGATGACAATTTGATTTGTCCTGAACACATGAAGTAATTGATGCATGATAAAGTTTGGGACTAATTAAAAGTTAGATCAAATGACTAATTGTTGTTAATAGTAAATAAAATGATCAATAGATGTGAATTATGATCCTTTCTTTCAGTTTTAGAAACTAAAATATTTTAATTTCAAGTTTTAAATAGTCATTTTACTTTTATAAGTGTTGATGCATCTTCCTTAGTTTATATATATTTAAAAATATTTTTTATTCTTTAAATCTTTTAGTTTATGTAAATGCCATTTTCGAAACCATTTAGTTTTTATAGCTACCATCTAAAATCAGGAAATAAATTAGATCTAATAACTAAATTAGAAACTAAATTAAAAAATTAAATACGTGATTAGTTTAAAGTAATTTTTTTTAAATCGTAATATAAAAAATTATCCATTTCAATAATGCATGAGGTAGGAGAAAAAAACATTTACTTCGAAAAGGGAAAAGAATGATTTCTCTGAAATAAAATAAAATACTTTTCATCTCTCTCTCTACTTTAATCAAAAAATTCACTAATTTGATAACTAATTACCAAAATTTATTACAACAATTGATTTCAAAAGATATATCATATCTTTCTAAAAAATTGAAAGAAGGAAGATCATGGTGAATGTGTAAATCACAATTAATTAGTAAAAGATGCATTCAATTAAAGATGGGGGAAATAATGGTAAAGCAACCATTAATTTCACATTACTTAGAAAATGAATTTATTAATTTTCCTTTCTATTTTTCAAAATGTTTTTTTAAAGAAAAAATCATAATGAATAAAATTTCAAAGCGAAAAATACATTAAAAGGATACCTATGAAAAGACTTGTCCTAAAGTGTGGATTTTTATTTTTATTTTTGATACAGAAAGTAAGAGCATGCAACTATATAATAACCTGGTTTTGCCTTTCATAAAAGCTGGTCGGTGCTCGAGAAAGGAGTTGAAATTGTTTTATCACACCAAAGCCAGACATCATAATGCTAGATATGACACACACAAAAGAATTTGACCTCTCTTGTTCATTGAATCTTCAATAAAAAATAAATGAATGGAACCGAAATAATTTAGATCAACACAAATTTATATATCGAGATGGTCAAAATAAGTGATATATGGATTCATGTAATCGAGAATGTAGGTAATAACCAAAACTATACTTCATAAAGTCCAAATATATCAGACGAAGTCAATAAACACTAGTGCAAAATAGGATAAGAACGTGGATAATACATCTCGATTCTCCAAAAACCGAAGAATATATAAAAGTGGTGGTATTTTTGTAATTTGAACTAACTTATATGTCTCGGTTTCCTGGGAACAGAAGTATAAATTGTCAATTATCTCAGTTAAATGATCAATCGAGGTGTACTGCTCTACAATTTTCCCCTTGAAACTCTCTACATTATGATTTGAAAGAAATTCTTCAGATAGTGGTTTCTAGGTATTTTCCAATAACAAAGAAGACGATAAAATCATGCCATGAATAATTAAAACATAACAAGCATAGAGCAAAGGAGAAAATCCCTAACAATTAATGAAAGAAACATATAGCAATTCAAAACATATTCAAATACATGAGAGTTTAGAGGTTACATCTTTCCCAACAACAAATAAAGTTTAGTTCTCTATTGTCATGGAGAAACTAGGTGTACAATGGAATGAAGGTGATAGAAAAACCCTAGAAACTGAAGAGGAGAGCTCCTGCATCCAATTCATCCTCTAGAGACTCAAAAAAGTGTAAATTTGTGTCTCTGTCGTGAAAAGTTACCAACCTTAGGTCGTGCAAGTCCTTAAATAGATCAAAATTGGATCATGAGACAACATCGCTGGCGCTAAGCGCCCGACGCCTAGGCGAGCTTGCGAGAGAAGTGACGCTCAGCGCCCTTGGAAGGGCGCCCAATCATGGAACGGTGCATGAAGTCTAGCGCTCACCACACCTGGAAGGGTGCCCAGGCATGGCTGCACGACATCCAACGCTGAGGACCTTAGAAAAGGGCAGCCAGACGTCCATATGAGCTTTTGGCAATGAGGGCCCCCAGAAAAGGGCGCCCAAGCCTCCTGCGACCTTTTATAGCCTTCTTGTCTGGCGGTTTTTATTTCCTTCTGAGTTCCAACTCCTTACTACTTTAACTCATCTTCCAAATCATTCCAATATCCTACAAAATCAAAGGAATTTAGTAATAAAATCATCAAGTCTAACCTCAGCTCTCTGTAATCACAAAATAAACACAAAACAAGGAATCAAGCAAGTTTTTAAGTAAAAAAAGGTTAATTTAATATCAAAATTGAATCGTAAATAATGGTAAATTCAATTGTTATCAGTAATAGTTTCATTGAATGACATTTTTGAAAATAATTTAAACCTATACGCCTTGGTTAGGCGCTCAATCGAAGTCGTTCGGTCAACTACTGCCTCGGTTCAACAAAAAAGTGAGGTCGTTCGGTCTCTTCAGTTTGTACATTACAGTGGCAACAGAGGAGTTTGGAGGGATGAGAGGACTAAATGTCTCGGTTAGGTGCTCAACCGAGGTTGTTCAGTCAACTATTGCCTTGGTTCTGCAAACAAGCAAAGTCATTCGGTCTATTCAGTCTGTACATTACAGTGGTAGCGAGGTCGTTTGGTATCTTTAGTCTGTACATTACAGTGGCAGTAGAGGGATTTGCAGGAATGACATGACTAAATGCCTCGGTTATGCGCTCAACCGAGACCGTTCGGTCAACTACTGCCTCGATTTTCAAACAAGTGAAGTTGTTCGGTCAACCGAGGCAGGATATACTGCCTCTTCAGTCTGTACATTACAGTGGCAACAGAGGGGTTTGTAGGGATGACAAGACTAAATGCCTCAATTAGGCGCTCAACCAAGGTCGTTCAGTCACTTATATCCTTGATTTTGTAAACAAGCAAGGTCGTTCGGTCCACCCAAAAAGGTCTCAGACTCAACGTCTTACTATCAGAAGGGTTATATGCCTCGGTCACTCAAACAATCGAGGCAGTATTGTCTTTAGGCATCAGTTCATTAATAACCGAGGCATATAAGATGTTTAAAATTTTAGTATTACCACCACATTTTGATACGCTTTGAGTTTTTTGAAATCGAAGTGTCATGTGCGAGTTGAAATACGCTTTTTTTTACTAGTGATTTCATCTAATAAAGCAACTCTATGGAAGAGTACATCGTGTTAACCGAACAGTCGAGATATTTTATTTTGAGATTGTTTGATGCTTTTCTCTAATTTGTGGATTAAGCATATAAAAGCGGGTCTAGATGATATTAGGCCATC